AAAAGGGATGCTGTGGGTTTCAGGGTGAAGATCTTCTCTCACTACTCTAAAGGGCCCCTTTCGCAGTAGGAAACACATAGACTATTATGGAGATTGATTTTGGAATTTAGATGCACTCTTATTGATTGTGCTTGGCCGTACATGTTCATATCCTTGAAGATGTATCATGGGGGTGTTGCAACTTAGAAGACACAAATTTGACTAACAAGTTATAAGTACATGAGTCCAGAAATTATGGAAAAGTAAAAGAAAAGATTCTTTCATTGTTTTACAAACCCCCCCCCAGGTCCCCTCCACTATGTAGCCCTCACTCTAGTCTCCTGTGATGACAGAAATACCTAGTTATATATCTCTTTTAAACAGTTTTCTCCCTCCTCTGCTTCAGTGCAGTATACATTATTGAACCCATCTTACTCAGTCTCTCCCCAACCCCAAGGACAGTCCCATTCTACAACAGTGGCATCATGTAATATTTGTCCTTTTGTGACTGGGATATTTCACTCAGCATAATGTTCTCCAGAGTCAACCATTTTGAATAATATTGCATGAGTACCTTGTTTTTTAATGCAGCATAGTATTCCATTGTGCGAATATACCACAGCTTCTCTAGCCATTCGTTTGTTGATGGGCACTTAGGTTGTTTCCAACTCCTTGCTATTGTGAACAAAGCTGCAATAAACATGGGTGTGCATATATCTGCTTGGATGTCAGCTATGATCTCTTCAGGGTATATTCCCAGTAGTGGAATTGCTGGGTCAAATGGTATCTCTATTTGCAACTTTTTGAGAAAGCGCCATACTGCTTTCCACAGGGGTTGCACCATTTTACACTCCCACCAACAGTGAATCAGGGTTCCAGTTTCTCCACAACCTCGCCAGCATTTGTTGCTTGCTGTTCTGTTAAATTTTGCTATTTTGACTGGGGTGAGATGATATCTCATAGTTGTTTTAATTTGCATCTCTCTTAGGGCTAGGGATTTTGAGCATTTCTTCATGTGTTTGTTAGCCATCTGAATGTCGTCTTCGGTGAAGTGCCTGTTCATATCCTGTGCCCATTTTTCTATTGGATTCTTTACCTTTATCTTGTTGTGGTGCTCAAGTATTTCATAAATTCTGGATATAAGTCCCTTATCTGATATGTTATTACCGAATACTTTTTCCCAGTCAGTGGCTTCCCTTTTTACCCTACTGAAGAAGTTTTTGGATGTGCATAGGGATTTGAGTCTTAGAAGGTCCCATTCATCTACTTTATCTTCTCCTGGTTGTAGGTTTATTCTTTTTTTTTTTAATTTATCAACATTTGTTTTGTACTTGGCATATGATGTAGTCAGGAAAATGATCCATGTGTGCAGGAGAAGAATACGCATTGCTCTGATGTTGAATAGACTATGTCTATTAGGTCTAACTGACTTATGGGTTGACTCAAATCCCTAACAATCTTATTTTCATATACTCTATACTTTCATTATGGATATATTTATTTTTCATTTTATGAAGGACCATATTTGTTTCATGTATTTTGGTGCATTATTCTTTAGATCATAACTATTTATCATTATTAAATTTCATTTCTGGGCTGGCTCTTTAAGTATTTTATCTTTATATCCTATAATAAATTCTGATTTAAAGTCTATTTTATCTGACTATTCCATGGGGCTTGTTTGAATGGAATATTCTTACCTATCCTTTAATTGTCACTCACCTTGTGTCCTTATGTCTAAGGTATGTTTCTTATAGAAAGAAAAAGATGAATCACTGGAGTGTTTTCTTTGCTTTTTAATTGAGGTTTATTTTGTGTGTGTGTGTGTGTGTGTGTGTGTACTGTGAAATTGGATCTGACTGATACAAGAGGAGATTGTCCCTCCTTCTCCAGCAGAGCATCTGGTGGATTCAAACCACAGGCCTCTAGGATTGTAGTGCAACTTTTTGCCAGTAGGCAACCAGAGCTCCCTTTTAATTGAGACTTTAATGAAAGTTTATAAAGAACTTGGATTTCCATTCATTCATTGTTGCATATTTTCCTCCATGTCCCACTTGCCCCCGCCCAACTTGCTTTTTTTCTTCGGAAAAAAATGTTCTTTCATTGTTATGCAGGCCCCCCCCCCAAGACCACATTACTATGCAGCTCTTATTCTGGACTCTTGTCATACCAATAATACTTAATCATATATTCCTTTTATACAGTTCTCTCCTTCGTCTGTTTCAATGTGGTGTACATTATTTATCCCCTCTTTTCTTAGTTTCTCCCAATCCCCATATCAGTCCTATTTTATAACAGTGGCCCTATGCAATATTTGTCTTTTTGTGACTGAGATATTTCACTCAGTATAACATCCTCCATGGTCACTATTTTGTATAATAGTTCATGAGTTCCTTGGTTTTCAGTTCTGCATAATATTCCATTGTGTGAATATACCACAGCTTCTCTATCCATTAGTTTGTTGATTGGCACTTGGGTTGTTTCCAACTCTTTGCCATTGTGAACAAAGTAGGACTAAATGTGAGAATGCATATATCTGCTTGGGTGGCGGTTATAGTGTCTTTAGGGTATATTCCCAGTAGTGGAATTGCTGGATCAAATGGTATTTATAACCTTTTGAGAAAGTGCCATAAAACCTTCCATAGTGGTTGCATCATTTTACCCTCCCACCAACAGTGAACAAGGGTTCCAGTTTCTCCACAACCTCACCAGCATTTGTTGTTTGCTGCTCTGTTGAATTTTGCTATTCTAACTGGGGTGAGATGATATCTCATAGTTGTTTTGATTTGCATCTCTCTTAGAGATTTTGAACATTTCTTTCTGTGTTTGTTTGCCATCTGAATGTTGTGTTTGGTGAAGTGTCCTTTTCCTGTGCCCACTTTGCAATTGGGTTGTTTACCTTTACCTTGTTGTGACACTTAATTATTCTATATATTCTAGATATAAGTTGAATCATTGGGTTTTTTAATACAATATTCCACTATCTGAATTTTCCATGGGATATTTAGACCATTTAAATTCTTACTAAAAGTGTATACCTTAGCCATTTTCCTACATGTTTATAGTTTTGTATCTTTATTTTCTATATTTTTTCTGATTTCCCCCCCCATTCTTCTGATGAGTTGTTTAGTTATCCTCCTTCATTTTCATCTGAATGTTTCATAATGGTGATATCTTATTGGTTTTCACATATGGTATATTATACAATTTATAATTACAAAAACACTTAACATATGAAGAACAGTTAACATATAACCTTAACACAATAAATCTAGTCGTGATATGCTTTTCTGTCTTCCATTTCTGTGGTGAAGTATGAATTTGTAACAGTGAGAAAAAGAGATAGCTAAACTCACCGTGAAAAAATAAAATGTTGTTGAGTTCCCATGAAAGTGCTAGAGAACAGTATCAAAGCAACCTGAAGATAAGATATAAATTTTAGTAAACAGATTTAAGGCTAGAAGTGCTCACTGAGCTACACCAAGAAATTTAGAAGATATTATATCTGTGGCCATTTCAAAGAAAGGTAATCCAGAAGAATGTAGAAATTATAATACCATTAATATAATATTCAAGTAAATTTTTTTTTCTGAAATGTTGACAGAAGTACATTAAGAGAATTGCTAGGGATTGAAGCCAGATTCAGAAAAGGACTTAGAAAAAGATCACTGCTAATGTCACATGGATTTTATCTCAAAGCAGAGAATACAAGAAGATATTTCCTGTGCTTTATTGATCATGTAAATTTATTTAACTGTGTTAATCATAACAAATTGTATATACCACTGCAATGAATGAGAATTCAAAAACATTTAATTTTACCCCTATAGAAACTGTACATGAGTCAATCAATAGGTGCCCATTTAAATAGAACAAAAGGGTCTTATGTTGTTTTAAATCCAAAATATCCTACATGAGGGTTGCATCCTTCACCATTCTTTACTCAATTCAAATGCTGGATAAATAATTTGAGAATCTACACTATATGAAGAAGGACACTATATCAGGATTTGAGAAGGCTAATTAACAATGAAAGATTAATGATTTCACCTTACTTGGATCCACAATCAACATCCAGCAATCAAGAAATCAAAATGCAGTGCACTGGGAATATCTGCTGTCGGGGATCCTTCCAAAGTGCCAAAGAGCACCAATGCCAGTTTAAAGACTAAGGTACCCCTAATTCAAGCCACAGTCTTTTCAATTACTTGCTATGCATCTGAAAGTTACATGATAGTGAATAAGGATAAAAGGAGAAGAATTGATACCTTTAATTTACTGTATTGTCAAAGAGTACAGCCAAAAGGACAAATAAATGTGTCTTGAAAGCAGCACAACCAGGGTTCTCCTTAGAGGCAAGGATGACAAAACTTGGTCACACATATCTTGGGCATGTTATTAGGAGGCATCAGTCCTCAGAAAAGAAATGTCATGCTTGGAAAGTCATAGAGAGGATCATCAAACGAGAAGAAGGCCCCTTCAACAAGATGGATTGACACAGTCATTGTATTAATGGGCTTAAGTAATTCAGAGATTATAAGCCTGGCCCAGGATAGCACAAGTTTCAGATCTGTTGTTCATAAGGTTGCTATGAATCATGGTTGACTCAATAGCACTTAACAACAATGACATTCAAAATCTGTGCTATGTATGTAGATGATATAAGCATACTTGGTGAAAACAAAGATGACCTGATACATTTCATGGTGAAGCTTAAAGGATGTAGCTCATCCTTCAGTAGTATGGATTACACCTCAACATAAAAGAAAAATCCTCACAACTGCATCAACTGACACTATCAACATGAACAGAGAAAGACCAAAGCTATCAGGAATCCACAATCAATGGCCATGACAGCAGGAGTAAAGAAATCAAATGACTTTAAAAAAAAAAAAGAAAGAAAGACATCAAAGGACATTGAATTGCCAAAAACTTCTCAAGATATTCAAAATCCTAAGTGTTAATTTATTTTATCTATGATAAAGTCTAAGGTCAATTTTCATTTCTAAAAAAAAAGACAGTCAATAGAAAACACATGGAAGGGATTTCACCAATTGACCTTCAAGTGGAGGTGATTTCTGCAAAGGCTGTGTGAGTTCAAGGGTGAGGGAAGGCCATCTTGCTCCTGGGCTGGCCAGCTCCTGAGCAAGCATGATGACATCAACCCCTGGCCAGTGCTGTGTCAAGGCAGATCCCTCCCGTCCTGAGCCTGCTGTGGACCGAGCTGTATGAGGGAGAGTGGGGCACATGCTGGCAGAGGACACAAGAGCTCTGTGGCATCCAGCAAGGAGTCGGGAGACGGGCGTGCTTGGGATTTCATGTGAACCTGCAGGGTGAGGCTTCGGTTGCAAGATCAGCTCATCCTCCAAAAAGGGTGACATTGAGGAGGGCCAATCTTTGGCTTGAGAAACCTTTCTGGTGAGAAATCCTCACCTGCGTGGATCAATGCCTTTTGGCTGGCAGGGCACCACTGACCTAATGTGGTTCCTTCCCCCAGCACACCGGCAGCGGGGTCGACCATTTCTTCAATATGATCGTGGTCATATTAGCCATGTTTTTATGCAAGAGCTGGGCTTCCCTT